TAAACCCTAAACCTCAAAACCCTAAACCCTAAACCCTAAACAGGGATCCGGGGGCGCCATCCCCAACATTTGCTTCCCGACCTGGTGCGACGTTCTCCTGCTGGGAGGGGACCTCGGCATCAGGGCACGCTGTGTAGGGTTTAGGGTTTAGGGTTTAGAGTTGGGGGTTGGGGGTTTAGGGTTTAGGGTTTAAAGGGTTTAGGGTTTAATTTTTAAGGTTTAGCTTAAGGCCTCTTGCAGGGTTTGGAGACTTTACAGGGCCTTTCTAGGGTTTGGGCGGCAGCCGGGGCTTCGGTTGTAGCTATCTCCAAGCCTTCAATGAACGCCCTAAACCCTAAACCCTAAACCCTAAACCCTAATCCTTAAACCCTCCTTCCCCCCCAAATCTGGGCTTTGGGTTGAGGGCTTCGGGAAAAAGGGAACCTGCGACCCCCTCCAAAGCTGGGAAGTGCTGTTTAGGGTTTAGGGTTCAGGGTTTAGGGTTTGGGCTTCAGGGTTTCGGCTTCAGGGTTTAGGGTCCGCTGACCCTGGCAGCGTGTTGGATGGGTTTCTGGAGGTGAAAACCTCCCTCTTTCCCTCCTTACCCCCAAAACGCGGCGGAGGGGGGGGGGGGGGGGGGGGGGGGGGGACAGGGCATAGCCTCCCCCCCCCCCCCCCCTACCTTTTGTTCAAGGACCACCCACACATTCTCGTCAGGCTGCCCCCCCCCCCCCCCCCACCCCCCCACCCCCGAACCGCAAACCCAATCCACCAAACCCCAAACCTTAAAACTTGTTCTCCTGCAGGGTCGGCGGCTTGAGCCGGAGGCTCTTGAATTTAGGGTTTTGGGCTCTACCAAGCATGTGGGCTTCGTTTTTGGGCTCTACGTTGCGCTCTACGTTACCCTAAACGATGAGCCCTGAGCCCCTGTAAGCCCTTATATAGGGGTTTTGGTTTAGGGTTTAGGGTTTAGGGTTTAGGGTTTAGGGTTTAGGGTTTAGGGTTTAGGGTTTAGGGTTTAGGGTTTAGGGTTTAGGGTTTAGGGTTTAGGGTTTATGGGTTTAGGGTTTAGGGTTTAGGGTTTAGGGTTTAGGGTTTAGGGTTTAGGGTTTAGGGTTTAGGGTTTAGGGTTTAGGGTTTAGGGTTTAGGGTTTAGGGTTTAGGGTTTAGGGTTTAGGGTTTAGGGTTTAGGGTGCCTTATATAGGGGTTTTGGGTGAAGGATGTAGGCTTGGATTCTTGGCTCAAGTTTGGTGCGCGCAGTCTGTTAGTGGGTCGAGATCAGCTGTAGTGGGTTTATAGGGGTTTAGGGTTTAGGGTTTAGGGTTTAGGGTCTAAAGCTTGTTGATTTCGGGGCGCTTCTTTTACCAAAACGCTGCGCGTGCGTCTTCTCCTTCTCCGGCTGGCCAAACAAAGCAGAAAATCATGCTGGCCGGGGCCCACTCTGCCAGATGACATTTAAGACCCTGACCCTGAAGTTTAGGGTTTAGGGTTTAGGGTTTAGGGTTGAACTCCCGACACCAACCCCCAGAAACAGGACATGGATGTTCTGACTGGCTGGCTGTGGCCGGTGGCCACCATGACCTCCGAGATATGCCCACGCGTCCCCTCACTCTTTCACACACCACTGGCTGACAGCAGCTGCACGACATCGTGAACACAAGTACATCTCATGTCAATGCCTCCTAGGTTGTTGCGATCACCGGAAACAAATTATATGTGCAGCTGCGGTTGTATCTTTGCAGAGGCTGCTTCGGTCTTCATCACAGCATGGCACGGCACCTATCACGTTTAATTGCACTGTGTCTCTTGTACCATCATATCTACTATGAACAGCTGCTTTAAACCAAGACGTTAAGCCGATTTGTTAGATTGTACCTCATTCTGAGGTTCTTGGCAGAAATCGCCTGCCAGCGAATGCTACAAAAATCAATGGTCGACAGTTCATAGAGACACCTTAGCTGACGTCGCGCAATTCACCTGCACTGAAATCACAACGGCAGCTCAGCTGACTTCAGATGCTGACCCGAAAAGGGTCAATGGTTCATATACTTGAAAAGGAATTATGGTAGTATGGGGTATGGGGAATATGACCCTAATTTTTAGGATTCATTTCGGCAACTCACGAGAACAGCACCCTAATTTTTAGGATTCATTTCGGCAACTCACGAGAACAGCATGATCCATGAGTGCAAGAACATCTCCGCATCTCCCTAAAAAACACCCTAAACCCCAAACCCCAAACCCCAAACCCTAAACCCTAAACCCTAAACCCTAAACCCTAAACCCTAAACCCTAAACCCTAAGAAGACCTAGACCTTAAAGCCGCAAGACAAACTCGGATTGCCACCAGGGCACATCAGGTTCACTCCTCCGTCAGCATGTTCTCCTTGCCCCACGGAATTTTTCAGGCTCCAAAAAAAAACCCTGTCTAGGCTTTCTTCATGGACTTCAGACCCCAAAGTCCCAAAGGTTTAGGGTTTAGGGTTTAGGGTTTAGGGTTTAGGGTTTAGGGTTTAGGGTTTAGGGTTTAGGGTTTGGTTCTACCCATGGAGCTCTGCTCTCCCCCTAGATAAGAGCCGAAAGCCGTACAGTGGGGGCTCCGCATCGTCGGCTGCCGACACTGAGAGTGAACTTAGTGCTACCTTGAGGGATGAAAAAACCCAATTAAACAAGGGTACGTAACAGGTCTTACAAAGGGCCTTTAAGGTTTCTTTCTTCCGCGGTAAAGGTCTTACAAAGGGCTTTTGAGGTTCCTTTTTTCCGCGGGTTTACAAGGGCTTATTGTCCATATCAGCCTTGTAGGGAAAATAGCGGTGGAGGTTCGGGTTCCCAATGTAAAGGTTCTTAAATGTTGGCCCCCCAAGCTGCGTGGGCGCCTTCGGCTTAGAGCTCCGGACTGCGTAGTTGAGTCAGAACAGGGTTTAGGGTTTAGGGTTGGAAAGTGTATAAGGAACAAACAGGAAGTACCTGGAAAGGAACACAAACCTAAACCCTGAACCCTGAATCCTAAACCCTAAACCCTAAACCCTAAACCGCCGTCCTTGCGGTCGTCGCACCAGACCACTGGCCACTCGTTGGTCATGCGGTACCTGAGACAGTCTTTTATACTTAGGGTGGTTGAACGGCCCCAGAATATGAGCCCTAAAGTGGCTAACCCATTCCTTCTATAGCCTAACAAAAACCAAGGGGCCAGCCCTAAACCCGATTATAAACCCTCAACCCTCAACCCTCAACCCTCAGACCTAAACCCTAAACCCCAAACCCCAAACCCTATAAACCCTAAACCCTATAAACCCTATAAACCCTATAAACCCTATAAACCCTATAAACCCTAAACCCTAAACCCTTCAAAGAAGGTAAAAGGGGCCCTCTTCAGGGACGCAGGGTAACCGGCCGAAGAGACAAGCGTGCAGTGGGGTGCGGGGAGCTGGGAGGAGACAATTAGGGGGTTTAGGGTTTAGGGTTTAGGATTTAGGGTTCAGGGTTCAGGGTTTAGGGTTTAGGGTTTAGGATTTAGGGTTTGGTTGGTTTTTTGGGGTTTAGGCGGTTGAGGGTTTTGGGGTTTTGTTGGGATCTTGGGGTTTAGGCGGGTTAGGGTTTAAGGGTTTGGGTTTAGGCGGTTTAGGGTTTAAGGGGTTAAGGGCTTAGTTAAGGGTTGAAGAGTTTCAGGGTTCAAGAGTTTAAGGCTTCAAGGGTTTAGTTTTGGAGTTAAGGCAGTTTAGGGTTTCAGGGGTTTTAGGGCTTAGGGCTTAAGGTTTTGGAGGTTTAGGCGGCTTAGAGCTTCTTGGCCTTCAGGGGCGGGCGGTACGGCTTACAAAGCCTACAATGTAAGGTTTGGGGACTTGGGGGAGTTTTAGGGCCTAGTGAGCTTTTCATGGGTTCCTCTACTGCCCCCCTCTTTACTACCACCCCCCCCCCCCTACTTCTGAGGCCCCCTCAGAATTAAGGCTATTCAGGGAAAATTAAGCCCCAACTGAGGATATTTAAAGGGGGAACCTAGGGCGGGGTAGTATTGAGGGGCTTAGTAGACTTTAGGGTTTAGGGTTTAGGGTTAGGGGCTGTAGGGTTCATGAACCCTAAACCTTCCACCCTCACTTGAAGTCCCAACTTCCCCCGGTCGAAGCAGCTCGCGCGTTTTTTGTTTTATACTGGGTTTAGGTTTAGGGTTTAGGGTTTGGGGTTTAGGGTCTAGGGTTTAGGCTTTAGGGGTGGGTTTAGGGTTAGGGTTTAGGGTTCAGGTTTCCTTTTAGTTGGTGTAGGGTTCGGGGCTTCCAGCGATGCCCTTGAACGATGCAGGGCCCTCACGGTAGGGCCCTCACTATGAACCAAGGCCTGTGTCAGGGTTCATGGGGTTTTGGGTTTTGGGATTCAGGTCATCGGGTAAGGGGAATCAGGGCTTCGGGTTTAGGTTAGTATAATTCAGGGCTTCCCCTAAACCCTAAACCCTAAACCCTACACCCTAAACCCTAATCGGCTTTTTCAACACCTCAGCTGTGGCAAGTGAGCCGGTGAGACGCCCCAGTCCACGTCCAGGCCGGCCCCCTCACTTCAGGGGCCTGGTCTTGCGAACTGGGATGAATCTACTGTTTGCTTAAGAACCCCTCAAAAGCAATGAACAGTTTATAATCCCTATAGTAACCTTATAGGTTGGCTTATAAGGAAGAATATTATATATATATATATACATATACACATATATATATATATATATATATATGTTTTTTATGTTTTTTTTTTTGGTGGGGGGGGGGGGTTCTTAAGCAACTCGTAGGAAATGCAACAGAGATGAATTGTTGTGTCCGGAGCTTCCGATTCGACTCGGCGCCGGAGCAAGAGAGCATGTGCTGACTTCTCTGCACTGTGGTCCCTTTTGGGCGCACAAAGAGCGTCCTTATCATCAGACGGCCCCTAATACATATATATATATATACATGTATACATATATATATATATACATACTTATTTATTTAGGGTACCCAAAAAGGGGACCAGAATTTTGAGAAATGGCCATGTCACTTCGTCAGTAGACCTGGTCGCCTCCTGTGCAGCAGCCACAGCCTGCGCGCTTCATCATCGGCTCGGCCGACAGGACGCGCGACTCGTCGGGCGTGAGGGCAAAGACCAGCACGTTGAAATCCTGTGTTTCCGAAAATCGGGGGTACCCTTTTGGGAGGTTCCTATAATAAGGTACTATTTTGGGGCATTTTAAGGGCTCCTATAATAAGGATTGTACTATTTTGGGGGGCATTTTCAGGGTTACCCCCTATTTTTGGGAAACCTCAAGTCCTGTGCATCCTTGCCCTCGCCGCGGAGGCGCTGGAACCGGGCGTGGCCGCCGCGCGGGCCAATGGCCTGGTTGATGGTGTCCAAGAACTCAATCACGCCCCGGTGCACCTGGTGTAGTTCATGGTTGGGATCGTATCAAAACTGAAATTTCTATTCCTCATTGAGCTCAAGTGCCCTTAAAAACGTAGTAGTTCATGGTTGGGATAGTATTTAAACATACAACCTCCTCCTCCTCCTTGTTGAGTTTAAGTACCCTTGAAGATGCAAAATGTTACCCCACTATGACAGAGCCGAGGACCTTGCCAGCGGTAGTGCACTGGCATTTGTGCGTCGGCGCCATGAGCATCACGAGCCCGGGAATGACGCAGAGGAAGCCAGTCCTTGGGGACCAAAGGAACCCGAAAAGGGCCATGATGGTTTATGGGGTTCCCTAAATATAAAAAGGGCCATGACGGTTTATGGGGTTTAGGGTTTAGGGTAAAAATTATGGTAGTCTAGGGTATATGACCCCAATTTTGAGGTTCCATTTGGTCCCCAAGGGTCAGCATCAGCATCACCGCGCAGCTCTCGTCGGCATGCGGGACGACTTTTTTATTCCACACCGCCATCCAGTCGGCCCACTCGGTGGGCGTCACGCCAAGCCGCGCGGCCAGCACCGGATGCAAGCCGTCCTCGTTGGGAAGAGCGCCCTCCACCGGCCCGGACGGACTCTCGCCGCAGCACGTCTTCACCTGCCACCCGATGATGACGCGCTTGGCCGTGACTTCCTGCTGGTTCACATGCATGATCTGGCCTTGGTAGCCCAGCATACCATACTTCTAACAAGGGCACGCTTCTTTGGGTTGGTTACTTTATAAGGGAACCTGGTTTAGGTTTTAGGGTTCAGGGTTCAGGGTTTAGGGTGTATAATTAGGGAGGGTCAAGGGTACCACTGGGCTAGCAAGTGGCAGTACCAGGCCATGAATTGCCCGCCTTTCGTCCCGCTGCGGGGGTACTCATCCGGCTGTGGCGGCAATTGCTGCTGGCCCAATGGTACCGGATCCATGGTGCGAATGTGACCACTAAGAACGGACAGAGGGGCGGTCAACAGCTGGAGCATCGGGCGGTGCATTCACAAAGTTTCACACAGAGACGGATTTCCCGAATCGGCTAAAGGCGTGTTCCTCTGCTGCTGGTTCTGGCCAGCGTATCTGTTGCGCTGTTCGTCGGAGGAGTATTGTCAGCAGCGCAACCCGAACCCCAAGCCCTGCATCCCCGACCAAACCCGAAACCTGTGGCCCATCCACCCGACGACTGTATGAACTGAATCTGAACCCGTACCTTGGGGACGACATGAACCCTAAAAGGGTTTATGGTTCATATGCCTTAACAGAAACTAAAGTGGTAGAGGGTGTATGATCTCAACTTCAGGGTTCATCTGGGCCCCTGTACAACCCCCGAAGTCCTCTAAGTAGGGTATAATAAGTAGACTTAGAATTGGGGTTATAACCCTAGGGCTCCAAGTATACAAATAATACCTACATTGGGGTCTAAACTCTGTAAGTAACACCGACTTTGGGCTACTTGGAGCCTTAGGGAGTTATAACTGGGGTTATAAGCACCCATGAACCTCCAAGGTGTAGGGTATCACGGCCGCGTCTAAAGACATCGAGCACTGGAGGTAAGGGACCACATTAAGAGCCCATGAAACTACCCTTTCAACCTTAAACCCGAAACCCGAACCCCCCCCCCCTCCACCCTAAACCCTAAACCCTAAACCCCTAAACCCTAAACCCTAAACCCTAAACCTGGTGTGTGTTTAGGGTATTCAGGGCTCCTATGGCTATGGGAGCGTATCTTTGCAACACAAGGCAGGCCGTGAGTTGCTCAATGTCTGGAGCCCGAAACCCTAAACCCCAAACCCTAAACCCTGAACCCTAAACCCTAAACCCTAAACCCTAAACTTGTAAAGGTTCAGGACTTCATCGCCCTCTGAGGCCCAGACCCCAGAAAAATCGCAAGGAGCATGTAGCCAAACTTCATGAGGTCCCAGGACCTGAAAGCCCCGACCTCTAACCCCCCCAAAGCATGCAAGCTACTTGGCCGCAACGGCCTCATGAACTCGGAGGTTTCGGATTTAGGGTTTAGGGTTTAGGGTTTAGGGTTTAGGCTTTAGGGTTTAGGGTTTAGGGGCCTACAAGCGTGGGTCTTAGGCCTTAGGGCTCAGCGCTTGAGGGTGCTTAGGGGGCCTAGATTCCAGCCCCAAAGACTCCCCCACCTGAAGACCCATGCCCCCCCTCGAGCGCCCCAAGCAGTAGACTTAGAACTATCCTAAATACGTAAACGCTATCATAACAATACTCGTAACGGTCATAACGGTCATAGCAATAATAAGACTACAGCAATAGCAACATGATGAAGAATTCAGATGTTCCCCATTCTACTAGCAGTCCTTCATTGGGATTACAGTAGCCCGTTTTATGATCCCTATTCAGGACTGTTAGCATAGGGGGGAACGCCCCGAATCTCCCTGATAAGTAGTCAATGAAAACAACCAAGATGGAGAAGCAGTTTCCCCAGACCCGAAACCCTAAACCCGAAACCCTGAACCCTACACCCCCCCCCCTAACCCTAAACCCCCGAAACGGCCCATATGCATGTGTTACTGCAGGTCCCGCAGCGGGGACATTAAGCCTTGATCTTGAACCCTCTGCACCCCCGCCCCCCCTCAAAACGAGCCAACCCCCAAACCCTGAAACCTCATCGCTAAAGCCCTAACCCTAATAAACCTTAGGCGAACCCTCTGCCCCCCCCACCCCGCCTCCCTCGGCTCAAAAAAGGTAGGGTTTAGGGCTGAGGGTATAGGGTTGAGGGTTCAGGGTTTAGGGTTTAGGGTTTAGAAATGTATAGGGCTTTGGGTATAGGGGTTTAGGGTTTAAGAGGCGAAGGCAAGGTTCTGTTGGTTTTGAGCTGTTGAGCTCAAAACGCAACCAAGCCGAATCTCCACACTAGGTAGACCTGCAAACCCCAGACCCCAAACCCTGACCCCTAAAACTCCAAAACGCCTAGAAGGCCCCTGAAACCCCAAAAACCCACAAGGCCCAAAAAACCCTTAAAGCCCCTGAAGCCCTAAAACCCTGAGCCCCTGAATCCCGAAGAACGCCCCACCAAAACCCCTAACACCCTAGACCCCCCAGAACACTCTTCCCCCTAAAGCCCTACAACCCCTGAAAACCTTAAAACCCCCGAAGCCCCTGAAGCCCCTGAATCCCGAACCCTAAACCCTAAACCCTTGAACCCACCACAGACAAAGCCACCGTGCTGAACCCACCACAGAGGATCTCCCCAAACCCCTGCAAAGCCACCTGTGCTGCTTCCTCTCCTCCCACTCCGCCTCAGTGAAGGGAGCGCGCCTGAGCTGGTTTCCGAGGAGACGCTGGCCCCAAACCCCAAACACCAAACCCTAAACCCGAAACCCTAAACCCCAAACCCTAAACCCTAAACCCCAAACCTGAACCCTAAACCCCAAACCCTAAACCCTAAACCACTCAGCCCTGCACTTTACTAGCCCTACGCCGATAGAAGGACCTCAACGCCAGAAACCCCAAGATCGACCTTATGCCCTGAGCCTGAAACCCAAAACCCTGATCCCTAAACCCCACGGCCAGAAATCCAAAGTCCCTAAACCACAACCCTTGAACCCCAGACCTCAACACTCTCCTGAACCCTATAGACTACACCTTCGACCAGAAACCTCCCAAAACCTAAACCCTAAACCCTAAACCCTAAACCCTAAACCGTAAACCCTAAACCCATCCCTAGCCGGAATCCTGGGCCGGTTTCGTTCTGGACTTCCAGGATTCAGGGCGCTTAGTTGGAGTTAAGGGCTTCGGGTTGGGGGGTCGGGTTTCGGCTTTCGGGTTTAGAGTGCAACTGAGTGGCCTTCATAAGTAGAATAAGGTGTTATGTACATGTATATGTAGGGCCCCGTATAAACCCAAATAAGGAAAGCTCGAATATCCAAACCGCCAACCTAGTAAGGTTTCATGTTCTCCTCAAGATTCATGCTTCGGGATCCACCCAAGTGCAAACTACGTAGACACCCCCCCAAAAAAAAACAAAACCAAAGCCCTTTAAATGCCTCTCTCCCACCCCTCCCACCCCCCACCCCCCCACCCGCCTAAACCCTAAACCCTAAACCTTATTCCCTATTAACCCTAAACCCTCATTCTAACTCCAAGCCTTGAGATCTTCCTGGGGCTCCAGGCGGATCCGCGGTAAGGCGGTCGTGGGTGTTGCCCGGGCGGTAGTCCGTGTTGTTGGGGCCCTCGTACCTATTAAGGGGCTTAGCTGGTCAGAGTTGAGGAGCTCAGCGTTCGGCGCTTTCACCCTATAGGGGTTTAGGGTTTAGGGTTTAGGGTGCAGGGTTTAAAGAGTCTAGGGTCAAAAGCCCAGCGTGGGGAGAGCACCAGCGGCCGTAGTGCATGGTGCCACGCTCCATCTGCCTGCCAGCCAACGGAACATGGCAAACTTAACCTACTTAAAAATCAGCCTACGCCCGGAACCCCAAAAACCCTAAACCCTGAACCCTAAACCCTAAACCCTAAACCCCGCGGAGGCTTTAGAAAGCCGAAAAGCCCCAAGGCGGAGCGTCTCGGTCCTCGTAGGGTTTAGGGCCTAGTTGTCCAGTACCTAGGGGAACTAAAGGTTAACGTTTGGGATTATAAGGGGATTCTATTACCCCAAAAAGGTTAAAGGTTGCCTGCTCTACAACTAAGAGGGTTGAGGACGTGGGGTTTAGGGTTTAGGGCTCACTGTTCAGAGCTTTAGGGTTAGGGTTTAGAGCTCTGGGCTTTAGGATTTAGGAAGGCGTCTGGGGGGGGGGGGGCAGCCCTAAACCCCATACACCGCATAAACCCTGTAAACCCTCTAAACCCTCTAAACAGTCGAAACCCTACACGACCTCTAAACCCTCTGAACCCTTTGAACCCTCTGAACCCTAAAAACACTAGAAACCCTAAACCGTGAACCGTAAACCCTAAACTGAAGGTGGCACTCTGGTGCCTTCGCCAGTCCACCGCCTGCTTCCGATACTTCTGCGACGGCGCGAAGCTGGCCTCCATGTCCTCGCCGCTTCAGGATGCCCAACAGGGTTTGAGGGGTTTAGGGTTTGGGGTTTAGGGTTTAGGGTTTAGGGTTCAGGGTTTAGGGTTTAGGTTTTAGGGCTTAGGGCTTAGGGTTTAGGGTTTAGGCTTTAGGGTTTAGGGTTTAGGGTTTAGGCTTTAGGGTTTAAGGTTTAGGGTTTAGGGTTTAGTGTTTGGGGCGAAACCTCTCCCACCCCTCGAACTCGAAAAGCCCGTGCATGCTCGGCTCCTTCCAGGCCAGGAGGTAGCCTGCGGGAGGAGGGGGGGTTTAGGCTTTAGGTTTCGAGTTTAGGGTTCAGGTATAGTAAAGATATATTTACGGCTCTGATATAACACCCACCCACCCAGAGAATCTCATAACATTGAGAAACAAGAAAAAGTAGTTCTCCAATCATGCAACAAAGTTCTGCAGCTTCAAGTTGCTCACAGCTCATACCCTGTCTTTTGAGCTTTGCCTTTCAAATCTAAGTCAACTCTCAGCCTTGGCCAGTCTTTTTAGGGTGCAGGGACCCTAAAGCACTTGACCCAACGATTGGGATGCTCCCCCTTATACCAAGTCCTTAACTTAATCGGGATTAAAAATCTGGAGCACGATGATCTTGACTAAGACTGTTAGTACAAAGGGGAACATCCCAACCTAAACCACTGGACCCCGAGACCCTGCACTGTATAATCAAGGGGCCTTAATATTAGAACAGGGTTTGGGCAGGTTATTATCGTATATCTATATAGGGACCATAAGAGAACTCTATTCGTAAATATTCCGACCCCTATAGTCTTTGAATCACATCTGAACCCTAAACGCCGAAAACGCTGAGGATCGTGAGCCGGTCACCTTGGAAGCCCCTACACCCAAAAACCCTAAACCCGAAGCCCCAAACCCTCAACTCTTAAGAACTAAGGGGAAAAAGGGGTGGGGGAT